GCTTTCATTCGAAATGAAGATTCCTCTAACAGTGTGAATACAACCTAAAGAATGGTAGGAGAGCTAGCATAGTTGTCTGTCGGAAGAATCTATCCATCTAAAGTAGGCTCGCTAGAACTTGCATAGGAGGTTCAGTCTTCCTAAGCAGGGCTTGACTCCCATTGGGATGCAATCCAGTGGGGGGTTGAGAATACCTTTTTAGAAGCAAGGCCATGGGAATTTCGCTGGAGACTTAGGACACGCTTATAGGATTTTGGCACAATTCAACCATCAATTTCTCATCGCCTTATACCGATCGGATAAACTGGACTTGTTATTCACCAAAATTAGTCGAAAGATGGATTTCACTTGAGTTTTAAAACTGATCCTATCATGAAGCAGACAATGACAAGATTCAAGATCAGTGCAGGTGAAATGTGAGAAGAGGTACCAGTTGATGGGCTGTTGCTGGAACTGCACACGCCCACACTAACAGAGGACGTCGGGCAGGTGGCATTCTGCAAGATGGCTCTTACAACATGAACAGATTGCGAATACGAAGTCAGACAAATGCAGATAATTAAACCGATCCCAAAACGAACCCCAGGACAACTATGATCTGGGGAATTCGGGATGAGTCTGGTTCAGTTTCAAGACCTACCGTCAGTACCCTTTTAGAATATCTCGGGACTCGCTTGGGGTGGATTTACACAATTTTGTCTCTTTCGGTTTCTGGGCCCCTCGCCCACTCTTCCACTCGTCTCCGGCGTGGGTCAACACTCGATGGGAGGATGAGTTTTTCAGTCGTCAAGACGAATGCTCTTCTCTTGTGGTCCCCTCATCCGACTCTCACCACCGCTCTGCCCCATCCGGGCACCCCGACACCGTTGGCCATTCGAACTGATCCTCAGCGGGAATCGCGGAAGTGTTTCCACTCGTCGGGCTCGTTATGAAAGACACACATTCAGGCCCGATTGGGCCGATTGATTCGAGTGTCGAACTGCTCTGGCAACTGTCAATCACAGCCCACTTCCAGCCCATCTCGTTGGAGGCAAACCGAGGGGCGGGTTGTGCAGGAGGCCGAGACGGAGAGTCGGCCTGAACAGGTGCATGACATGGGACAGTAATCATACGAGTCGTGATTATAAGTTCTTGTTAACCCTGAACAGACCCCCGCATTTGCATCCGGTCTCCTCCGCAAACGATTGCCATTTCACACACACACACACACAAACACACATATATATATATATATGTGCGTGTGTGTCATATATATATATATATGCCCTATGCCTCACACACCCTTTACTAGCTCACCCCATCTTCACACACACGCACACATATACGCCTACATCCTAAGCTAGTATGCAACCGAATAGATACAGTATCAAATGTATGCGTAAAGGTAGTATCACAATGGTGAAGAGAGACAAGCGTTAACCATCTCTCTCTCTCTCACATACACACACGCACACATGCAAATATAGACAAGTACACCTCACACAGCCTTAATGCCACTCACCCCATCTTCACACACACGCATACATACACACATATATACGCCTACATCCTAAGCTAGTATGCAACCGAATAGATACAGTATCAAATGTATGCGCAAAGGTAGTATCACAATGGTGAAGAGAGACAAGCGTTAACCAGCTCTCTCTCTCACGCACACACACACACGCACACATGCAAATGTAGACAAGTACACCTCACACAGCCTTAATCACATGCTTATTGGTGTTGATACTTGCGCCTTCAGAAAACAGATGCGCCATCCATCATGCGATGCGTTTTGTCTATGCCTCGGGAGGTTTGGTAGGAGAAAATGGGTCAGCAGCTCTGCTAATGACGACGAAACCCAGCCAGCCCCGGAGGGGTGGAGTTGCCAATCTTCTATTTTATTGTCCATGTGTGAAAGAGTTGTCAAAACGGTGCTGAAGGTGTGAAAGTGTCTACCAAGCTTGTCCATATAACCTGGAGACTACGCCTGGGTTTTGTGGGCGGGCGAGGGGATGGTAGGAAATCATGCTTTTCATACCCTCATGTGTTGTGGTCTCATGTGGAGCAATCAGCCATGCAAAACCGTGGAGGTCAGGACCATGTTGGAGGAGGGAGCCATCGCAAATGCCACTTCCTCCGCCCCTCATCACGACGCCTTCGAAGCGGAGAGATCCACCTTTGCTGGATCATGGAAACTGTCTTGACGGTCAGCCAGTTCCTCACGTCTCTACACAATCAGAGACACCAGATGGGCCCAAACTTTGGCTTCAGTTTTCTGGTTGAAAGGTGCCAAGTTCGAGTCCAGAAGTGAGCAAGCAGACGTGTCGATGAGAGGAGGCACTGTCCGGGTCTGAGTGGGCGGTTGAAGAAAGTAGGAAATAAAGGGCGTGAAAATACATGATCCTCCGACTCCTCCTGCCGAGGGCTAGGATCAAAGAAGCAGGGCTGCAAAGAAGACTCCAGCTTAGAGTTCGAAATCTGTCCAACGTCTCAACTTCCTCGTCTAAGAAAAGTGCCGCTTTGTAGACAATTCAGGCATGACAAAGCAAAGAGAAACAGTGACCAACCGAGTAAAATCGGGTTTACTCAAAATCGGGCTCAAAAATTTCCTATAAACTTCGGTTCCATCGGCGAACTTCGTAACTTTCAAGCATTTCCAACCCTCACGCTCGACAGCGATCCCTTTGCTCCGGTAGATTGTCTTCTGTGAAGAAGTTTTAGTTTATAAATAGGCTTTCGAGACTTGCATTGTATTCAGTCTAGTTGATTTAGGGTGATAAGGGTCTCCAAATGCCGTCTTTAACCTGACTTTCCGAGTGGATTTCGCATGACCCTGCTTTCCAAACGCTATCCTCATCCAGGCTGGAGTAGACTACAGTTTCGACCTCGTCCGACTCTCTCTCTCTCATCAACACCTCCAGCGGGACTCGGACCACTCCC